TCTCACTCTTGCGCTATACCGTAAGGTTATAAACCAAGTGACACACCATTTGAAAGAACTTTTTATGCTCTTTCAAACGTATGTTGAATGCATGAGATTTCTTTTCAATTTCAGAAAAAATGCGAAAAAATCTGAAAAATTGCCATTTTCTGGTGCAATAAAAAACCAAGAAACTATGTTTTGCAACATATTTTCCCAAGATAGATAAAATCTGAGGTAACCTGCATATGGATGGATAGAGCGTAAAAAGCTCTTTCAGACTGTGCCTACAAAACATGCGTTCACCTGCAAAGAATTGAATAACGCGTATTTTTGTTCTCGAAGCTGTTATTAGCCATATCTCCTGACTTTGAAAGTTGAGGCCATCAAGCCGTCGTGGGTTTAATGGCAGTTCCACCACCCACTCCAGCAGTGGTACTTTGGGTGGTCTCACATGTTTCACTGCGCAGATGCTGCTCAAAGTTCAGAATTTATAGAAGTGACTGACTTTGCATTTTAGCAAGTATAAAAATTATCAATTATGTAAATGATCTTACGAAGGTACTGTTTGAAAGAGAATAATATTTTAACATATATCAAAATTGAAAAGTCTAATCACTTCTCTTTCTTGAGAAACTTCCAGTTATTTCGTAAGTGCCCCATTTTTTACCGATCACTCTAATAATTTCTTTCAGCAAGCGCTGGCCAAACTTGCAAGCGCTCGGACTCTTTTTATGCAATTTCGGGTGTACGCCGGAAAAAATGAGACTTTATGTGGCAGAGGTATCATCGATGGTTTGATTGCCCAAGTCTGGGGTACCTTCTTTCAGCGGAAGGTACCCTGGGCAATGCGGTCCTCCACAAAGGACCGTGTGGCCCTCGACATTTTTGCATATTCTCACGGAAAGTTCGCGAAAATGCGGCCACTGGGCAACTTATCTATAAAAAGTGCTCCGAGCGTACGTTTAAAAATTATTCCAAATTTCTGCAAGCGGACCGCAAAAAATCAGCGAACTATTTTTCCGGTGCCCGCTTGCTCAAAAATCGCATGGCCGCCTGCCCCTGGCGATTATCTGGGCGAGTGGTGCTCTAACGGCTGAGATATCTCCCTCGAAATTGGACTCCACGATCCTACTTCCATGAATTCATGGCACAAAGCTTGGGTCCTCGCGCTAAACAGCTATGAAAACATGCGAAGACGGTATTGGGGTCCAGTTTGGAGGCGTATATCTTACAAGGGAATGATACTTGGTGTCCGTGACCTTTTGAGGCGAAACGTACACCGTCACGCTCGTCTTGGAACGCTGATTCTGAATCTGACTTCCTTTTCTGCTAATCATTTCTCTGAAAGAAGTTATGAAGGATTTCTGCGTCAATGGTCGCCCAAGAGAAATACGGTCGAGGATGCCTAACTTTTGAAAAGGAGCTTGAATGAGACAATGCAAAACTGAAAACACAGAAGGACTCGAAACTTAACCTCCATGAACTTGTGAGACTGTCGGACTAGCCACTACACCACATTGTAGCTGCAGTTTTGGCATTCCGACCATGTCTCCTTTGGCGCCAAAATCCTTCATAACTTTTTTCAGAGAAACGATTAGCAGAAATGGAAGTCAAATTTGGAATCAACTCTCCAAGACGAGTGTAATGGCATACATTTCATCTCAAGAGGCCACGGACACCGAGTATCGTTTCCTTGTTAGCCGTTAGTGCACTGCCGCTTGAGCAGTGCCTTAGTTAGGGCCTCAAAATTACTTTCCACATGGAATCGCCACAGTCCAAATCTGCCTGGAAGATGCTTTTGTGTAGCAAATTTGTTTGTAGAAATACGGTCTCGTCTTACTAGGGCAGTTGCGTTCAAGAATTGAATCTTGGATTCAATTTGGACTGGTACGTTTTCCACATCCTGATGAAGTTGGTACTCCAATACAGCCTAGCCTGCGCGTACACTGTTTCGTTGATCAGAATGAAGCCGTGTGCGGAGCAGTACCGCTTTGAGGCCTATATCTGCAATTTCTACGTCTAACATCGCACGTTGTTTGGCATATTTGCTTTCCCTTTAAAGCTGAAGGTGATTATCCTAAATGGGGTAGCATGGTATCAATCCAATGATCACAAGTGTAGAAATCATTTCCGAACCTCTTCTTTACGACGATTAGTGGGTATCCTACGGAAATCTGAGATTTGGCCCAGTGAAGGCTAAAGTGCGAGAAAGAGAGTTCAAGGATAGTTGAGACTCCCAAAATACCATTATTTACCAAGTTTCATCATACAAAAGCACTTTTCCTGACAAAAACTGGCAATGAAGTATTACGAAATAATCTTCGAATGACTACAGAGGAGGTTCTATTGCACAATGAGTATTTCGCGGTGCATAGTTCAGTGCTGTAAGGAAAGATCTCCAATAACAGAACAACGTTTTTTTTTTCTCGAACCAGTAGCTGTCTTGTTGAGAATAATCACGAGTTGATTTCCATGTTGTTCTCTTCTTTGAATCCGGGCATTTTCATTTTAATCGTTGTGAAGGATTTTCTTATGCCAAAACCAGGTTAATTGGTGGAACTTTATTGAAAGGTTTCGAACAATTCGTCTTCGTAAGGAGTCTGAAAAGGATCGTAGGTATTGGTACTTTCACTACACCGCCAAACGTCTCGTCAAACGCTGCCCGTTTAGACCTTCCCTGGTGCAATGTACTGCAAAGCAAAAGGAGAGTGCCAATCTCAGTTCACCATAAGACCAGTAGCCGGTACACGAGAAGCCCCTCGCGGTGGTTGGCTTTCCTATCTGAACACCCAGATACATTTATCCGACAATACCATTCAAGTCAAGTGGTATCGAAAGGAAAGCTTGGAGAATATTCTAATACACGCCACGTCAGCTCACCCCACAGCACTTAAACATGCCATAATACGCAACATGTATAGAACTGCTGTAGGAGTATGCACGGGCGAGAGCGAGCTACTCGAATTACGAGAATTGGCTACGAAAATTGCCCTCAGTAATGTTTACAGCACAGCCACACGATCACGATTAGGAAAATCTAATAGAGGTCAAAGTGGTATTGGGCAACACTATGACACCAAACTTCCGCTATGCATACCCTTCATTTGCGATAAAGTCAGCAGAGCAATTAGACAGTGCATCCTTCGAGCTCAACTGCGAAACGATGTCAGATTAGTTGTATACCCAGTGACAACATCAAAAAGAGGTTGGTTAGAAACAAATGCTACGATGTGTAATGTATAAAGGACTGCATTGTTTGTCTTTACGGGAAAGCAGGGGATTGTGCAAAATCGGGAGTTATATAACAGCTAGAATGTTGAATTGCGGAGTCCATTGAATCCATTATACATAGGCGAAACGGGTAGACCTCTAAGCATTAGGATCGAAGAACATTTGACTAGCATGAAGCGAGGAACTCCAGTATCACCTTTAGGTAAACATAGATTTGAAGCACACAATGGCACCTTAGTCGACGTATGTACTACACTGGCTCTTGAGAATGAGATTTGCACCCGAAAAACGCTTGAAGCAGCATGGATATCTTCCAAAAATCATGCTATGAATAGTAAAAATGAATGCATTGCCATTACGAGTGATCTCTTGCCCCTGCTACCATTATGCAAGCTCACATCCGCACATAATATATATAACTTGACACACTGAGTATAAACTCAGTTGCGTCCGTCACAGTTGTGCGGGCTACTGGTCTTATGGTGAACTGAGATTGGCACTCTCCTTTTGCTTTTCATTACATTGCACCAGGGAAGGTCTAAACGGTAAGCGTTTGACGAGACGGCGGTGTAGTGAAAGCACCAATACCTACGATCTTTTTCAGACTCCTGACGAAGACAAATTGTTCGAAACCTTTCAATAAAATTTCACCAATTAACCTGGTTTCGGCATAAGAAAATCCTGCACAACAATCAAATCACGAGTTGAGATGATAGTCTTATTGGTTTAGGATGTTGAAAGAGTAACATCAAGTAATTTTCAATGTCGAACGGCCTTGCGCAGTTTTCTCGACTTTCATGGAACAAAAAAAACTACTCGTTTAAAACTGTAAAAATGTTAAGCGCACTGATCCTATGGTAGCGGAAAACAGTCATCCACTTCAGAACTCCGAATACCAATGCGGACTGCAACACCAATGCGGACTGCCCAAGTCCCAGCACGCAGTGATGGCGCGCGCGCAACCGCCCGTGCAGCCACTTAGGTAGATTTATAGTGAGTTTCAGCTCAGTCTAGTCAGAAATTGGATTGGCGGGAGGCCGCTTCGCAACGATTCGCGCCGCTTTACAACGTATCTTCATTGTAATCTATCTCGCTGGGCCAGTGGCGGTGCGGACGCGCTGCTCCACTTGGAATGTTTCGCCTACTCCGGGTTGAAAAAGACAGTAGATGAGGGCAAATAGAAGAGATACACGCTTCAACAGAAGCATAATTTAGTGCATTTGAACAACTGTTTTTCGAAAGTGCCACTAAACCTGCCATGTCTGCACTCCCAAATGCTCATAAATTTTTCTAGAAAATTTTGCAACAGATGCGGAAATTGATTTGCCTTCAGCTCAACAAGGCGCATCTGATGTTTGCACTTCGTTCCAGATCGCCAGCAAAAATTGGTATCTTCCCTTTAGTTATCGTATTCTTACTTCAAGACGAAGAGCGTGCGCACAATCCACCGCGATGCACATTTTCGCATGTCGCAAGTGATTCGCCGCGTTGCTGTGTAGCGATGTAAAAGCATAATGATGAGTAGACGACGAAGACGGTGAAGACAAGCATGGTAATGATGGTGATTGATTTTGCAGCTAAAGTTCACGAACTATCATTCTATATACAATACCGCTCACAAAATGTGCAAAAATTCCGTGAATGTCGCAAAATTTCGAAAATTCCGCGATATTCCGGAAAGTTCGCGGAATTTTCGGAATTTCGCGACATTCACGGAAATTTTGCACATTCCGTGAGCGGTATTGTATATATAAAATTGAATGGTGTACTTGTCTGAAGGTTGGTAGATGAACATGCCGCGTGTTGTGATACCATCTGTAGGTTCTCGGTGTTTTTGTGGTCGATGGCGTTTTCATGTCTGTTGTTTTCGGCTAGACATAGCAGCTACATTCGCGGTTGATGACCGCAGGAAATCCGCTCACTTTCGTTTTGTTTCGGGACAAAGTTTGACCCAATTATACCGGCAATCTGGTCGGGATTGCTCCGACGTGTATCAAGACAATCGATCGGCTTTGTGAGTCGTTCGGGTTTAACCGGGCGTGCTTGACCCAACAGGTATCGGAGGGAAGCTTTCATTCCACGGTCAACATTTTCATTTCTGCATGCACTAATGGTACTCGTCTGTTCAGCGCCTAACTTTTTCAATCCACCACGGTCCATTCCAGTTTCCTTTCTTTTGATGTGTTTCACGCTTCATATAGTGTTCTCTTCTTTTAGGTCTAGTTATGAGAGCGCTTCGTCGGCTTAAAATCATTGGTAACGCATACTTTCGACGAATATTCATGATTTCGCTCCAAATTAACATTCATTCAAGGAGGACTGGGAGCGTCGCTTATTTTTTCCGTAATCATTCCATAGAAGCAGGGCTTTTCTGTTTTCTCTGACGGTTTTTTATTGCAATCAAGTTTGACTCATTTGGTAGCATCATTTCGAAATGACATCATTTACCTGTCAATTGAGCATTCAATCGTTTGGCATGATTACGAGGTTGTGTCATTCGTTCGTGATGACAGCAAGTGAGTTTTCAGGATACGAAACTGCTTCTTCTATATGAAGAACACGCAATCACTGAATCATGTGCCAAAGCACCCCATGAACTGACGTTCAAGGATTCATCACAGTCTGATAAAACCATTATGGTATGTGTCGGGTTTCTGAATAACTGTGTAAAAAGCAGTGATTTTTGTAGGTGATGCCTGAAGACATTGAGGCTGCCGGGTTAAGCTTGCAAAACCTGAGTAACTTGACTGAAGCACAATTTAACAACCTTGTAGCGATTGCTGAGAGGCGATAAAGAAATGCAAAATCGAGCTTAACGACTGACACACAGTATGGTACCTTTTTGAAGTGTTTTATACTTGGTTCAATTCTTAAAAATTGAGAGTACAAATGACCAGATAGCTGGGAGTTCTTCAAGCACCGATTCATTGACAATGGTGATCACGAAGAGAGCAGTCTCAACCTTACTGATGCAAGCTGACAGATATACTTGGGTAATTCGATAATTTTTCATCGAATAAACGAATATCGAATAGATTGAAAATAAAAAATCTCGAATTAACGAATATCGAATAAATTCGGAAAATCAAAAAATATCGAATGAATGAATTTCGAATAAATTCGGAAAATCAAAAATATCGAACGAATGAATATCGAATACATTCGAACATTGGAAGTCGAATTTCGAATAAATATTCGAATAATTTATCGAATAACTAAAGCAATCACATCTCAAACTTGCCGACATATCTGGCTACAGCCGATCCAATCATAATCAGCCCCCTAGTATACCCTATACCAACTCCTAGCTTAAAATTTTCCAAAAATTGCTGAAATCAATAATAGATTTCGGTTTTAATCAGCACCCTCACTTACCCCTTTGTACCAACTCCCAACCTCGTAGCTCAAGATTTTCCAAAAATCGATAAAGTCGCCAATTCCCAACCTCGTAGCTCAAGATTTTCCAAAAGTGGATAAAATCGATAAAGTAAAATTTATCCATAATCAGCAGCTTCACTTACCCTTTTGTACCAACTCCCAGCTCCGCAGCTCAAACTTCTCCAAAAATCGATAAAGTAAATTTTCATCCATAATCCATGAAGGTGCACCAGCCAGCTTCAAGCGGTCGCGCGGGTCGCGTAAGCGGCTGCACTTCTTGATCCTTGGGCGTTATGCACCGTACCTGCACCGGTAAGAACCGCATCTGTACACTTTGATCCTGCGGCTTTGTTCGACAGCAGACCTTATTTGTCAGACTTCCACTATATTTCAAAGACGTTTAGCAGAGTAAAGATAAAATTGGCTGGAGCTAAAACCTAAAAATGAGAAACATCGCAACTTGGTGTAAGCATCTAACGAGCTGTTCGGATTTATAGCGCTAGGTGTGCGATCTTTTGAAGCAATAAGGTGGCCACATATGTGCTTAAATTCCACAAATGCTACGATATATTGCCTGTTCATCGGAGATTTTCGTCTTGTGTGGTATAAGCTAGTCGTGGACGAAGGCATGTGGTTTCCTCCGCGAAGCGAGCACGAATGCCCCTATAACCCTGGGCATACTGCCGGCATTTCAGTGGCGACGTGGTATGGCAATAAAATTGTCCAAAATCTATTCTGAAATACAGAATGCTGGGCATTTATGTTTTTAGTATGTTGTACACACTAAACATTTGTGGTAAGCTGCCATTACATCTGAAGACATCTCGTAACTGGCAAATCGCGTACGGCGATCTAAGCCGTCTAATCCTGCACTACAACTGCGATGTCCTTTACTCAATATACACCAAGTCGCAAAAAACTCCAAGGTGACGAATAGGCAATTTTGCAAAATTAATGCGAGCAAGAGTGCTCACTAGTGTGGGCTTTGCGTACCGCAAGCATGAGCAATGCAAAAAAAGAAGAACAGCCATTTCAACTCAGTATGAACTCAGAACATGAGCTTGAATTTGAAATCTTCTTTGCTGATTTGGTGCCAACAGCAGTGCGAACAATCTCATTTATTAAAAAAACGTCAGTTAAAATCCACATATGATTTTTTACTGTCGCAAGCAGTCGGGAGAATGCGACTCTCCATACAGTTCAAAGGTATACCGGTTGCAAAAGATGCAATACCGAGTTTTGCGAAAAAAATGCGGATGAAGTGAGCTTGATACTCAGTAGTTGGCTCTGCAACAAAGTCGAATAATTTGAATACGGAGTACATTCGAATACGAATTCGAATAAACATTCGAATAAAACATTCGAATAAAATCTATTCAAACCCCGTTTTTTGATTATTCGAGTTTTCGAATAATATTCGAAACCTCGTTTTTTGATTATTCGAGTTTCGAATTTTATTTGAAACCCCGTTTTCTCAATTATTCAAGTTTCGAATATTATTCGAAAATGGAAGAACTCCGAATATCGAATTTCGAATACGAATATGTTCGAATGTTTTATTCGAATGATCGAATTTCTATTCGATTCGGACCCAAGTATACTGACAGATGATTGTGGTATGTCGTACCTTGTTTGCTTCTTTTTTCCTCAACTTAAATTTTGCCATCAAACTGATGAGTTTCGTTAGAAATATTAGTAATATAATAAAACTGTAGCAAATGTAGTAAATGACAGATATCTAGTGCAGTTTTAGGTACTGGGCTGATTTGGGGGAACCGAGTCTCAGAGAAGAAAAATTTTTGATGCGCTATCAGAAAAGCAAAAAAGCTGGGCTACCCATGCACGTGCGGCCATCAGCAGAGCATTGTAAGTTTTTTATGCTTCCTCAAACTAACTGCTCTGGCCTTGCCCGGATCGTGGGTGTGAAAATTTCTATTGAAGATGCATTTTTTTTGTTTTCAGAGCAGACGTAAGCCAATACGAATTTGATGCAGCGCGCCTAACGGTCATGTCCCCCAAGGTAAGTTCCTCTCCATTTTTCAGAGCTGTGATGTCATTCGTTCTTTTTCAGTTTCAGAAAAAAAGAGTAATAACGACGCAAGAAAGGACGACAATTGAAAAAAACGGAACTTCGGGATTTGCCTGAGGAAGATTGATTTTCTTTTTGTTTTTTGCTCAGAGATGTGTGATTTCGTAGTTGCGAGTCTGCTGTTAGGAGTAGATTTTTCTCTTTTTCTTTGTGCTCAGAGATGGAAGATGACAAGAAGATGACTAGACTAATGTGGCATGTACGTTTAGGAGCTAATAGCGGCTATTTCTGCGTCAAACAGGAATCCAACTTTTCAGAAAATGTTATGCCCATCTTCTAAATAGTGAAGCTGTCCGAAGCTCACTATTTAGAAGACTGGAGCTGGAATACGCTTCCGAAGCCTGGTTATAAGGGGATGCACAAGGCTTCGATGGGTGCTCAGCGTCAGCGTCGGGCTTATCTCCAGCATTAATTTAGAGATATACTCGAGCTGTAGATGTTGATGCAATGAAGATTTTCTGGATATATTATGGTCGTGTTGTTCTCCAGTTCACTGGTGGAGGCGTTGGTGAGCGCTTGCTTCCTCCGCCTGCCTTTCCAAACGTTTTCACTGGAAAGCATGACGGAGGATGAGCGTAAGCGTGAGTTTGACATGAAGAAAGTGGCGTGAGAAAAAACTGACCTTACCTGTGAATGGATGGCTCATAGAGCCAATCAATGCGTGTATCGCAGCTGGATAGGGCAGGGACTTAGTATAAACCTGATATCCTCGTTACTGAAAGCTGGCTAACAAGTAGAGTAAACGACAGGGAAATTGGGTAGAAATTACCGTATTTAGTTCAGTCCTGACAGACATAACCCTGGAGGAGACAACATCTATTACCTCAAAAAGCATTTTCTTAACTGAGTAACTTTTCCTGATTAAAGCACTGTAACATTCTTGCTATTGACATACAGCTCTCTGATAAGCCTACACTCTTGGTTTTCTTGCAGTTTTATGACCTCTCAACAGTGCCTACTAAGCGACGAACATCTTATCGAGCTAATGCTTGTGTTCGCACTACCTTTCCTTGCAAACTCATGTTCGGATCACAAAATGTTTCACTTGATGTTGAAAAATATCCCTTTTGGGCTTTTCTGCTTAAAGTCAATTTTCGAAAGGTTAATTTCTTTCTTAGTTTGCGGAGTGCACTGGTTGAACCTATTTGATCGTTATGAATTAGCTGACGAAGTTCATTATAGATCTTGCTTGTTAATATAATCATGAGGCAGATAACGGAGTGGAATATCCGTTCGTTCTGTGCGAAACGGATGTGTTTTGGGTATACGCCTTGGTGTCGGAAGTGAGAATTACAAGGATGCTTTACTAATTTTTTGTGACTCTCACGTTTGACATCAAGGCGTAACTACCCAAAAACCCAAAACACATCGAAAACCGTCTCGCACAGAGGGAACGTATATTCTAATCCTGATCCACTATCTTGCCTCATGTATAAAAAGTGTATGTTAAGATGTTGAGTTTATCCAAAATGTGTTTATACGAGCGAAAGTTACCGGCAAATCCCTCTTCATTTTTTTCAACACATCACTGAATAAATCGGCCTAATCGTTGTCTGTCCTCTGATTGGTCAAATGGGTAAAACCTGTATCACGTATTGCGAAAAAGCTAATGTTTTAGTGTTTCTCCTTTCCAGTTTATTCAGTTCCATTCGTGTCAACTAGGTAGATCTTTCTGGAGCGAACTGGTGTGGATGACAACCTTTTGAGAAGGTTTGAATCGTGTTTAAGTAATATAGCCGTGACCAAGAACACTGTTTTTTGGATAGATAAGCTTGTGTTAGTGGTGTTCCACAAGTGTTGTTTCTCCATTACCTTTTCTGATTAATACCGCTAATCTCCATCGATCCTGAAAACATCCGAGCATATGACAATCTGAATGTATGCTGGCAATTTAAAGATCTACGTGAGCTATTGCGGAAAGAATTGTGATGATGTTCAGTCTGCAATAAAGCATAGACTAGGCATCATTTTCTGGCATCTCAGTCAATTCGAATATATATTTTGTCATGCGTTTGAGTGATGACAAATATCGCGTTTATGAGATAAGAGAAAGTGCTGAAAAAGTGCTCCACTGCAGGGCATTTAGGAGTTCATATAGATACTGACAAAGTCTCTGTTTCATGTTGACTACGTGTTAGTGACTTTTATTTCCAATGCTCTGGTCTGTCCATACTGAAAACGCAGCGATAATGAAATGTTATATGGGGTGTCTTAAAAAGTACACACTTTTCAATCGTTAATATCTCTTCCCGTGGGATCTTTTTTCGCCGTACAAGCATAATTCTGTGGAGGAGGCTTCAACTTACAAGGGAACCGTGTCGAGTCGAAGTGGCCTTTTCAGATAAGACCCATACTGCTTTAAAGAGCATTAATCGATGATTCCAAATCTGCTTTTCAAATCTGCCAAGCGCCTCTGGACGCCGAGTTATGCTCGTTTTTCAGGTCAAAAAATTGAACGCAAAAGTGAAGCAAAATCGCCCAAATTTGCTCAAATGGTCCAGTGTCAAGTATCAGAGCTGTTTATGCAATGGATACATTTTATTTATTATGCTAATACTTAACAATGCTTTATCTGAGCGTTGAAAAGATTGCAACAATCAATTCTACCTAAATTCTGCATTCATTTTTCGTTTCGAAGAACGGTCATAACTCGGTGTCCAGAGGCGCTTGGCAGATTTGGAAGGCAGATTTGGAATCACCGCTTAATACTCTTCAAAGCAATATGGGTCTCATCTGGAAAGGCCACTTCGACTCGACACGGTTCCCTTGTTAAATTTGCGTATCAAGCGTATCGATCTCTCTTCGTTACTGTAGGATTACTGTGGGATTCGACAAGGATTTTAGGCCACTGAAGGCATATTTTGCTTCGGAACAGAAGCAGACAAGCGAAAAACTCTTATGCTATGGTGATGGAAGCCGTCGATTTCAAATTTGAAATTTCGACTTTACTGTGATGCATCTTTTCAAGGTTATCTCAGGTAAACAGTAATAACCGTATTCCTAGCATCTGTTAGAAATGTGATTACATCATCAAAAAGTTGAAACCACTCATCAAAAGGTTGTGTAATGGAATCAGCTAGCACGAAACCTTAACACACGATTTTCCCGATTTTTTGAATAAAAATTGTCAGATAGCATATTACACAATGGTTTCAAGTGCTGGAAATTCTTACAGTAATTCTACAGTAACGAGGAGCGATAGTGATTTGCTTGTTACTATTGATCTAAGTTGAAACCTTCTCTACAAAATGGCGCTCAAGTGGCGGAAAAGACCACGTAATGGGAAGAGAGATATTAACGATTAAAAAATGTGTACTTACTTTCGGGACACCCTGCATAATTATAAGTCATATAATATGACCCGTAGTAAACCCCCATCAGGGCATCTCTCTTGAGGCGGACCGGAGTTGATCTCATCGCGCCTCAGCACATTGCCAGGGGAGCGATTGATTTGGAGCAGATCACTTACTGGACGTTCGCGTTTTCAAAAGTGGAACGTCTTCGCCATTTGTGCATTATTAGTTAAATGGATAAGACTAATGCGTTTCAAGCGGCATAGCCGTGGTTCGAGTGCAGTTAGCAGCACCACTTTTGCTACTTGGCCTGGCGACCTTTGATAGCGGCCGTTATCGAAAAATCGATGATAGCAGCTATCAGAGATTTCACCTAGCAAACAACAAGATAAAACAAATATAAATAATTTGGCACTTATACGAAGAAAAACTACACTTAGCGAAAACGAATAAAAAGATAAATTTATTTCTTTGTCATCTGAAGCGGTTTTCCCGTGAAAAACGTGTATCATCTGTAAGAAAAACGCAAAAAACCTTTTTTCGATTTCGTCGCGCAATCAGCTGTTCATCACTGACTTAGGCGCAGAAAATTGTGTAGTCTGGGAGTTTTGCACCGCAAAAGAACGTTAGCTGCGGTGTTTTGTAAGTTACTCGGAAGCAACTTACGGAGGTTTTCTCTGTGCTCTCCACCTTAGCACAGTATTCATTTTATGTCGTCGCCCGGCTCATTTCCAATGACTAGGTCGGGAGCTAATCTTCCTGCCCGGCTTCTTCTGAAGCTCACTTCTAGGGTGACCTTGCAACTTACACCACGGAAAAATGGGCATTCCTCATCTCACCCGACAAAGCTTCAAATGAGGGCCTCACGGTAGATCACCTCCCGTGACCGAGCTTTACTACGTGCCTATATGTTTATATACTTTCGAAAAATGCAGTTTGAGATTAGAAAGAGCTTACATTCACTTACATTCGCATTTCATGTATGTGATGAAATTAAGTCCTCGGCAAGAATAGTTTGGAATTTAGGTAGATATATCTAGGTCTTGTATTCGCTTTTTGTGTAAAGAACAAAATTAGATCTAGCGAGCGTAAGTACTGATTTGCAGGTCAATATAGGATAAGTGGGTTCAACATTCGGTACCTCGTACTTACAAGGGAACGATACTTGGTGTCCGTGGCCTTTTGAGATTAGATGCATACCATCAGACTCGCCTCGGAGCGCTGATTCCGAATCTGGCTTCCGTTTTTGCTAATCGCTTCTCGGGAAAAAGTTATGAAGTATTTTCGCGCCAGTGGAGATGTGGTCGAAATGCCGAAAGTGCGCTAAGATGTGATGTAGTGGCTAATACGATAGCCTCGCAAGTTAATGCAGGTTTAGGTTCGAGTCCTTTTGTGTTTTTAAGTTTTGCATTGCTTCAATCAAGCTTCTTTTCAAAAATATTATGCATCCTCGGCCGTAATTCTTTTGGGCGACCATTGACACAAAAATCCTTTACAACTTTTCCTAGAGAAACAATTAGCAGAAACGGAAGTCAGATTCGGAATCAGCGTCCCAAGGCGAATGTGACGGCATACGTTTCATCTCAAAAGGGCACGGACACCAAGTATCGTTTCCTTGTTAGCTCTACCTCACTTCACCTAAAATGCTTGGACACTGCAGATTTGTTTGCAGACGTTGCTTAAAATGTGCATGTATTAGATCGGTCCGAAATTTCGCGCTGTTTTCAAACCCATGCTGAAACCGCTCAGAATGAAGATAGACAAACGCGGTAAGCACTGTCCGATGCAGAATTTCTTCCTCTTTTCAAAGGTCATTCTTTGTTCAGATTTCCTCAATGTCCGCTCAATAGTCGGCAGAAATCTTTAACCTTGATTTTTACCCATTTTCAGTTTGGCTGTATTTTTTTTCAAATTTCCAGTTTCAACTTTTGGACTAGCTTTGATAGCGGTGTTGGATAGAATAAACAAAATTAAATACAATACGTTTTTCTTGCTTCTCTAGCTGGCTTCTCGAAATATATGAAAACATTTTTCTGATGCTATCAAATTCCATCTTTGGGCATCTCAATCTTCACAGAACAATAAACGACTAGCAACCAAGGTGTCATTTGATGCAGCTTTTTTCCCTTTCTGATAGACTTTTTTCTTTCTGATTTGTATAATAATTGAGGGTAAAATCACTATAATCTTTGTTTTCAGACGTCCCACGCTGTGCCCAAAAAATTCGAAATTCAGTATTTCGAACCGCTAAACGGTTACAAGCTAAAATCAGCGTTAAATGATAAACGGTTTTTGGAAGGTAAGTTTCGAAGTTTTGTCAGTGTTTGAAGCGATTGTGAATTTCGCGACTTTGCAAAACTAAGGGCTTTTAGAAAAATTTTTTAAGAAATACTGAAGAGCTAGTTGGTGAGGCTGATATAGTTCATTAAACTCCATTTTGTTTATTCTATCCAACTGCTATCAAAGCTAGTTCAAAAGTTGAAAGTAGAAATTTTGAGAAATAGCCAAACTGGAGATGGTAAATCGTGAATCAAAGATTTCTGCCGAATTGAGCGGACATTGAGGAAATCTGAACAAAAACATAACCATTAGAAAGAGGAAGGAATTCTGCATCGGATAGTGCTCATAGCGTTTGTCCATCTTTGTTCTGAGTGTTTTGAACATGGATCTGAAAAACAGCGCGAACTTTCGGACCGACCTAATATTAGGTGTTTGAAAGTTCTGCGTAATTCAAACAAAATTCAATAACTATCCAATGCCTAAACTTATATTCATAATCTTGTTCCCTAAGACTATTAGAAGGTATGCGCTTCATGATGGGTGTGCGATAAAATCTAAAAAAATGGATCTTCAAACTTTGCGGCTTTGAGTTTAGTGTCAGAATATCGCAGAGGGCCGCTACCCGGTTGAAAAAAATCTGTAAAAATTATTTGAATAGCAGGCGTTAATACATTACTTTGGCAGGCTCTGATTTCGTGCGGATATGCAGAAACAAAAAATTTGTGAAATTGGTCATTCAACAGGATAAATCCCCTTATCGCTGTGGTTTTTCCTCAGAAACACAGTTTGGAAGTGAAAGTCGCACATAGTGCTCATTTAGAAAATTGCGATTTTTACAGTGTCTAAAAGTGTTTTCGCTGAAAAAATGCAGTGATGAGGGGATTTTTTCTGCGAAATGATTTTTACGAGGTTTTGTTTTTGCATTCGTACAAGATCAAAGCCTGAAAGCGTGGACTATTGTGAAAATAATCTTCACAGACTTTTTTCGGCTAAGCAACTTTGCGATTCTCTGGCACTAAACATAAATCGCAGAATTTGAGGCCCCATTTTTGAGAGCTTCGTTCTCGACGGCCAGCTCATGGAATCTTATGCGTAAACACTCAACACGGAGCGCATGCCTTCTAATAATTTTAGGAAACAAGATTATGAATATAGCTTTAGGGTTCAGGCATTGAATAGTTATCGAATTTTGTTTGAATTACGCAAGAATTTCGGAGCCAACCTGCTTCTGTCGAGCATTAGTCGTCGCAGAATGTGAAATCTAATATGAAACACCCGAGAAACTCGACATTTTCGAATTTTTGCCTCACTTTTAATTTTTAGTCTTTGGTTCCGAATTGTTTAGTGAATGCTTGACCAAGTTGAATCGCAGAGTTTTCTAGACGAAACTTGATTGTCGAGTATTCAAAACTTTTAGATTTTTTTCTCCAAAGTTCGCGTAAATCGGACCTTTTGCGATCGTTTAAATACCATCTTGTCATCTTTGCTGCTGCATATGGGTATTGTATGCATAAGTTCTGCACCAACTTAATGTCTTTCCTCACTCGGAGGTTTTCTTCTGAATTCAGCAGCTCTCGGAATTAGTGCTTGTAGAAAGCCAGAAATACTTTCTTGAGTTTGTAAAACACAAAAGCTCACAACCTAGGTTTGTAGAAAACAAAGTCTTAGGTGGAAACAGCGAAGCATTAGCAACAGCATCAATCATGCTTTTGCCGAGGGTATTACTTCCGTATGAAACAAGTCTTTGTTTTTTGATCTCTACTTAAGAGAATAGAGTATCGGTATATAGGGTGTCTGATGTAATGTGCATACGCGTGAAACAGCAAGCGATTTGTTTGATTGTATTGAATGAAGATACGGATTTTTTTCATTTCTCAGGCCTCCTCGAAATAGTTCCGCTAATGCAAAAACATCTAAGCCATTTTGTGGAACTTGCCTTGCTCTATCGAAAATTAACCTGATGCCTACTCAGATTAGGAAGTTTATGACTTATTGGAAAAAAAATCAATTATGAAGCTTGCGAAACAGTTCAATGGCATAATAAAAGTATTAACGATAATGCGCAGACTTGCCCGTCAAATGTTAAAGTAAGTTGTTTCATCCTACAATGTCATCAAGCTTGGGTTTCATGCGGTTGGCAAAGCTGAGCCTAGTTTACATAATCACATTACTATCGGGTGTTTTGTAAAAGGAACTGTTTATTTGCGTGTTTGAATTCTTGTCTTGTGCTTCTAACAAGGAAGTGTTCCCAATTCAGCTCAGCCAACCCGGATGAGTCATACATCATCGTAATGCGCTTGAAATGCTGATTTTAAATCTGCTTTCCTTTTCTGCGGAACAACTCTACGAAAGAACTTATGAGGGTTCGGAAGTTCGAATTTGTCATGTTTGAAGTGGCTTATAAAACGAAAAGCTCTGAAACAACATTTAGCGGACTTCCACTGGTTTTTTCCGTCCTTGTGGTCAGTATACTTAATACAAAACTAAGAACCCACTTATTCGTGATATTCTACACCTGTCACCAATTTTACGCCAATTAAGACTTGACAAATTTGGGCTTTTAAACGCTGATAACTTCTATTGTAGAATTGTTCCGCAGAAACCAAAAACATACTTAGAATACGCGTTCTAAACCCGTTACTGTGATATATGACTCATCCGAGTTGGCCGAGCTGACTTGAGAACTATTCCTTATGAGAATCCAATTGAAATTACTAGATTAGCCTAACAACGCGAAGTCTTCCTTTCTTACTGCATCAGAATAGTGTTCTGTTTAAGCTTTTTCAGAAGATGCGTGTATTGCCAAAGTATCGAGTATTTTACACTGCTGCTTTTGGTTTTATAACAATTCTCAAAAAATACTTGACAAATCTTCCATTTTTCAACCTTCAGGTAAGCATAGTCTGCTAAATAGCGGTACAAACTGTATCGTGCCACAAGAATGGCAGATAAAATACAGGTTTTAGTTGCACACCATTCTCAACAAATCTCGTGTAAGCCACATTTATGTACGATATGCTTTTGTGCCAACAAATGCATATTAATGCGTTTGTTGGCACAAAAGTTTACCGTACGATTTTTGTTATCGCATTCCCTACAACAATTCTATCAAAAAACGACTCTTCAACTATGAATATACCTCATATCTTGAAAGCCTAGGTAGGCTCACTTTGCTCCTAATTTGCTTTTCTCGTATCTCAAACATTAACAACAAAGACAACAAAGTCTTTTCCTTAGCCGAGCGCTCTTTATACATGCACCTATATCGAAATAGGATGTTTGATGCAGAATCAGCATACTCACTTCTAAATTTTAATTAGCTTCCTTGATGTTTTGTATAATCAAAGCCCAAATGTCAAACGACTTTAAAGAGCAAGATACTAGAAATACACGAGCAGCCAATTTATAGTTTTCGTTGTTTTAGATTTGTTGTCAGACATGAGCACGGTTGATCTGCATGAAAATTACATGCCAGCACCTCGATTCATAACGGCAATGTCAGAAAACCACTATAAAGAAGGTCCCACCTGGGTTAGTTTGAAACTGGAAAATGTACCAAAATTTAGTTGATGCAACTAAGATAGTTAGTAAAAAGGACAGACGAGAAAGTTCTTGGCCCAAATGATGATGGTAAAATTAAGATTAATGGCAGTATTGTTGAGCAATCGCTCATCAAATAGGCTAATTGGAAAAATTTTTTTGCATTTGTTGTTTGTTAATTCTGTCGTTCAGATCTCTCTTACTCATCCAGCAGTAGAACGCCTTAAGTGGTCGACGATTTATCCAAAAAACAAGTTTTCCTTATACACAACGGCGCACATGACGCAGTGACCAGGTACAATAATGAGCCAATTAAACGCACCAGTGCGCAGTGAATACGTTGCAGCCACAGAGCATCTAACTCGCTCGCTCTTTATATTAACAGCACTTCCCAAAAATCATAAAATAATGTATGCTGTGCATTTTCAGGGTCTTTGAAGAATACAGTAACCGAATGGTATCCTCATGTTTGAACATCATAGACACTCACACCGACCGGCGATCTTCCCGTGACGGCCTTTCGGGCGGCCGCTGCATAAATCTGGGAGGAGCTAAATGCCGGCTGGTGACCGCTTCGAAGGATCTTGTCGGCTGGCGACCGATCGAACGGTTGTCAGCCGGTATCCTAAGATTCAGGTGCCGAAATGCGGGAATTGCATGGAATTCAAACATTACATGATCGAGCCTTATAAGCAAGGCTCACTTCACTTCCCTTTTTTTGGGTAGTAGCAACTTCTTTGTTTCGTTTATGTTTTTGTTTATGTATGCTTATCTGAAGATTGTGGGTGCTGCGGAGTCACTGGAAGACACTCAGAACTTCGCCGCATAATGAGTTGACGCTATCCCGTGTTTGCTAAACGGTATTCTTTTTTTAGAGATAAAGGAAAATTCTTTAAGACGTCTGTAGTCCTTACTTTCTTCAAATTCACATTGTGCTTATTGTAAATGGTCAAGAACAAGGAATACCCAGCTAAAACGTGATTTGTGCTGCTGCTCGTGACATTTTCCACCTGCTTTTGTAACACAAATCGAAATTTCGTTGCTCTAGCTTTCTTGGCCACAATCCAGGCATGAATAGACGAATTCTTTTGAAAACATAACATCTGTAGGTGGGATGAATATTGTCTACCATTGCACGTTTGAGTAGAATCATCGAAACTATCCGGACTGAGAAAAAGATACTCCCAGGGTAAATACTTGCTGCTGGCATTCTATGGGTCAAAAAATTCCCATGATTAAGGCAATCGCCAAAGCTTCGCTCATTTCTGTAAGCTTTAGATTAGGATATCTTGCCTACAATTTTGCAGAGAAACTCAGCTATACAATGCATGAAGAAAATCATAACTTTAGGACTTTCAAGCCTAAACAAACAGGCTCAAAAAGGTGGAAATTTGTAATTTTATTTCTTCTTTTCGCAGAACTCTTTCGTTGAGGTGTTACATGTACATAACCTCGTGTCGTTTGTAACTTAATATGGGAGATTGCACACTAAGCCCTATTAGCAACGGCACTCATACTAAAAATTTCGCTGTAAAACATTTTCATGCCTAACAAATGTAGAAGGTGATCTACTTGACTAACATGTAACCAACTAAAACAAAAGAAACAAAGCAACAAAGAGAAATTACTGGAAATGAGTAGGTTTCAGTTTCGCAAATCGTCAGTTAGCGTGTAAGTGTGCACTACGCATATTAAGTTACAAATAACTCGAAGATACATACATACACTACGGCTTGCGGCTACAAAATGTAGCTAATTATTAGCTACATATAGGAACAAAATTTGAAAGGAGTTGTAAGGTTTCAAAAACGAGGTCTTCAATAGAGAACCTTTCGGTTTTTTGACGTATGGTTTTCTTCCCGTTTGCATAATCAGTATGAGCAGATGTGTGCTAAGTTACGAAAGACTTCTGCTTCTATTTTGACTATATTTAAAATTGGAGGACTAAACAAAGTTATAACTTTTCAAAGTGAAACTTTTCAAAACGGACATTATTTTTGCATTAACCCAATAAATTCAACATGGATCACTTTCATATACATTCTCACAGGTGCATTAATATGCATACAGTGACGTTCAAACCATTGACATTGTCAACTCAGCGATTTATACATACGCATTGCATACAATACGTCAGCAAGATTTTGGATACCTGTAGATGCGGACATTAACCGTTACGCGAACATATTGCATACGGTAAAGCCCTCTCATATATCGCTCTATCAGTGGCGTACCGAGGGAAGGAGAGGCATTTTTGGGATGTGCTTATATGGGCCTAAAAAATGTGGCAAGTGGCTTAATTATTCTTATAAATATTGAAACAATTTTTCAAAATTTTCAAAAAATTTCAAGTTAGCCTTGTAAAAAAATTTTTCGGGGCGTAGCCATCGCTACGCCGTCTGTCCTAGAATTTAGGAGTTATGAACTCGCAAAAATTTCGAGAAGTGCCCCAAAAAATTTTTCGGAGTGCATGGCCAACGTGCACTTTCATTTATAAAAATTTTCGCCTACTGGAATACTGGGATCGCCGCTGCGCTCTATACATGCTAGTTAATGAACCGCACTGATGGACAATACCAGATTGGAGTCGCAGATCAAACCCGCATAATTCAAGATGGCACGAGCCAACGAATGCATGTTTTTTTATCTAGGAAAACCAAGAGTTTGGAAGCAATGGCACATATGAGTGTTTGATAGCGGGCAATTTTTGTGAGCAAGTTGGAGATTCGTAGGATTTTTCTGAACAAAGATATGAATTTTTCGCAATTTTTGAGTCTTCAGTACTACTCAGATTTTGGATGCAAACTTACGGTGGGTCGGAGCTTGTGCGAACTTTTGCACACCCTCTTGTAGAGCTTGCTTTGCTCTATCGAATGATACCTTGAAGCCCTGCAAAGACTATGAGATGTATGACTTATTGCCGTTAGAACTTAAGTGTAACAAAGACTTATGTAACAACCTAATACATTCGCAACTTTCCTATAATCCAAAAATGTCTGTTTAGTAATTTGTATCATCCCGAATGCTAAGCGTAAGCATTTTTGAAATCTGTATGTACAGAACCAGAAATGCCCTTCACGTTAAAGGCAGTGTCCTGGCAGATTCGTGCCCTGGGGGATATTGCTAAGATGGGGTTCGTGGTCATCGCACTGACCTCCAGGCGCAGTCAGGCTATTTGGTGTTCCCTCTGGACTGAGAAAATAGCCCTTGAACCGGCGCGCGCAACAATCACCGCGCGCTCGGGCGACTTCGCTTGCCGTTCGGCGCGGGTCCCACGACCGCTCTCCCGCCATGTGCATGCTATCCAAAGTAAAAAGGATTTCACGTCCAAGCTGCATTTTTGCAAATTGGGTAAACGCCCCGGAAAAGCTCTTTCCACCCTTCTTAGAGCTCAACTTTGGAATCTACTGGTCGAGAAGACTCAAAACGTGCAAAAACATGGAGCAAAATCTGCCGAGACACTGCCTTCAAACCTCATTGACTAGCTATTTCACTTGTTCTGATTTTATGTTGAATGCTAGAAGAGCATATGTGTGCTCGTAAACTTGCACCGAACATGCTTTCTCGTTCAACATGTGGACTTGGCTCATGGCCATTCTATTGCCGAGCCCCGACGAAGTTTCTTCTTCATATACCTATACTCTTTTGCCTGCCTTTATTTGCCTTGTTACCTTCTAAATGAAAACATTTTACTGTTTTTCAGATGACCCGAAGTCTCATTACTCTTGTAGCGTTGATTTTGACAATTACTGTTGTATATATTGTACATCAAAAATATGACCAGCCACTGACTCGTCTAAGCCTATGCAAAGAACTGATGCCTGAAGGTAACTATTGATTTACATGGTTTTATATTTGCCCAAACAACGACACCTTTGATTCGATGTGGCTTTTTCTGTGCTTCAGAATCCACTGACTCTTGGACTAGGGAGTACTATGCTATGCAGGCAGCTTCTAGAATACGTGGTTTGGAGAGCATTCGAAAAACTACAAAAAATTTTTTGAACCTGTATGATGCAATTGTTCCAGAGGTGCGTTTTTCTCAAGACTACTTCAGCCTCATACTTTATGCTTGTTCCGAAAACTAGGTTTGGAATTTCGGAAAAGGCGAAAAATAGCATTACTGGTGTTGTTTGTGGCAACTGAATTTTTACCTTTTACCAGACTTTCTTCTTTTTAAATAGAGCGTTCTATTCTTTGGCGTTACGTAAATACAGGGTGTCTCAAAAGTAACTACACACTTTTCAATCGTCAATATCTCTCTTCCCAATGGCTCTTTTTTCGCCATTTAAGTACCATTCTGTAGAGGAGGCTTCAACTTAGATTTACAGTATTGAGCAAATCACCGACCGCTCTTCATCATTGTAGGATTACGGTAATAACTTCCAGCAAATAGAGCTATTGTGAAATATGCCATCTGACAAAATTTTTTCAAAAAGTTTGAAAAATCGTGCACTAGGGTTTTCGCGCACGCTGATTCCATTACATAACTTTTTATGAGTGTTTTCAGCTTTTTTGACCGTGTAACCACATTTCGAACAAATACTGGGAATTTGGTTATTACGCTTTACCTGAAATAACTTTAGGAAAAAAGCATCACAGTAAACTGAAAGTTTCATATTCGAAATCAGCGGCTTCTATTACCATAGCATAAGAGTTTTTAGCTTGTTTGGTTTTGTTCCGAGGCAGAATATGGCTTCCAACCACCTAAAATCCTTGTTGAAGTTCCTACAGTAATCCTACAGTAATGAAGAGCAAACGGTGATTCGCTCGTTACTGTTGATCTAAGTTGGAGCCTCCTCTACGGAATGACACTCAAATGGCGGAAAAAGACACAATGAGAAGAGAGATATTAACGATTAAAAAGTGTGTACTTACTTTTGGGACACCCTGTAGTAATATAAACTACAAAATTGGATAAACCGTTTAGTTTTTTGTTAGCACGATAGAAGAAATTTAAGCAATTTCAGAAACTGTTGATAATAAATGTTTTACGGTTTAGAGCATAAATGAAGCCGCAACACGAAAGCAACCCAAGGCATTTGTAGGCAGGATGTTGCTAGAGATTGACTCGATATACTCTTTAGAAAAAATTGGAATCGGAGCACAAACTAGATCTGGCTCCGTCGGGAATTAAACGAGTCGAATGCGTCAAATCGTGAGAGCTTCCCGTCAAATAACCTCAGAATCCGAGACTCTGCACGGCGGATAACTCGTCATGTTGAATAAGAGTATCATATTTAATTACTACTATGATAGAAAAATCATACGACTTCATATGGCCCTTTCATGCAGAACGCAAAATATTTTTGTAATAAGAATGTTGGAAAACCAGGCAAAATTTCACTAAGATCTGTAGCGATTTGATTTTTACATTTATACCGTATACCTACTTCAACTCTTGGACGTGATGGCAAAATTCGGCAAGTATGGCAGCACTTGTAGCCTACATCATAATCTCTATATACCAGAGGATGAATGCGCCATGTTCAAAAAGACCAAAGTTATACAAAAATTGCAGACTTACTAGGAACGCGTGTATAGTCAAAGTGGCCTTTCCAAATGAGACCCATACTGCTTTGGAGAATATTGCACATTGATTCAAAATCTGCTTTCATTATCTGCCAAGCGTCTTCAAACGCCGAGTTGTGGGCGTTTTTCAGATCAAAAAACTGAACAAAATCGGCCAAAATTTGCTCAAACGATCCGGTGTCGACTATCAGAGCAGTCCATGCAATGGATACATTTTGTCCAGTTTGCTAATATTTAACATTGCTTTGCTGAGCGCTGGAAAGATTTTAACAATTGTTTTTACCTAAATTCTGCATTCATTTTTCGTTCCAAAAATAGTCATAACTCAGCGTGCATAGGCGCTTGGCAATTATGGCAGATAGAGCCACCGTGCAATGCTCTTTAAAGTGGTATGGGTCTCATTTAGAAGCGCCACTTCGAATAAACACGCTTACCTTGTTAGTTGCCAAGTAGTTTCCTAGGATAAGAAGGACGAAGGCATTTACTATGCTCGTTGGAAGGAGCGTCGAGAACGCTGTGGCCTATCTCTTTTCAATTCATTAAGTCCTCTTTCCTTTGCTTACGTTGATCTGCAACTTACGATAATCTAATATTTGGCCACACAATATACCGTAAATTTTCTATTTCGGAAAAAAAAGTCTGCGTCGTACCTCAATCCCAAAATTTCAAAACCTCGAAACTCATTACTCCACTTCAAGCATTAGCCATTTTAGAGAAAGCGTGCTTATTTGTGCAGAGTGTGTGATTGGCAAGGTGAGATCTGACTCACCTAAACTGTTCGTCATATGTGTAATTATGAGTGTGAGCTAATGTGAGGTTTTCTTATGCAGAGACTTATCTAAGAATGATTTTTAGAATATGCTTTGAAAAAGATATTTTATTTATTTTATTTACTTATCAATGCACTATTAGTGAACAATGCGCCGTTTTATTCAAGGCCTTGAATGAAACGATCATGTGACATGCTCAAAATCTTAGGACAATATCAAAATATGAAACTTGAGTTAGGTGCTCGTGAGTGCTGCCTTCAGATTCACAGTCGTGCGAACGTAATTGATAGTATCAGTACAAGTCCAAGCACAACGCGTGACAAAATAGATATAAACAGTCACTTTCGAGCAAAAAAAAGAAAGAGAAAAGCACAAAAGCGAATGAGCGAAATCATGCGCGCCCTGGTGAGTAGAAATATTCGTCCGGCTTACACCAACAACGCTAACATCGAGCTAGGATTACAGTGATGAACAAAGATACGACATCCTCTGAGATCAAGAGCATGTCCAAAAAAGGAATGATGAAATAGCTAATGAAACAAAGTGGTCAGAGTGTGTAAACGTATGAAACCCTAACAGCCAGTATGAGCTGGAAACATACACAACAAAGTAATACTGTTGGAGCGATGATTGTAGAAGAAGCTCAGCAAAACTGTGTGACCTAATTTGTACCTGGCAGCAATGTAGAGTCCTTTGAAATTGAAGCCGACGAGACAAACCTGAATGAGTTTGAAGGCAATCAACTTTTCATGTGAGTGATCGAAGGTGCGCTTGTACAATGTATAGTGAAGACCATACACAGTGCAAGGCCGACCAACACGACATCAACACTTCGAAAAAAAAGAGGGAAAGCATGATTTTATAGGAACTGAAATGTAAGAACAAAAGCAAAAGAAAACGACTCTATCTCAAAAGTGCTCAGATTTATCTACTCCTGAGAATTCAACAAAGAAAATGATTCTATCTTTAAAGTACTCGCTACTCCTAACCATCTCAAAAATTAGTTTAAGATGTGTTTAAAGTTCTTGATAGGAGCAGGGAGAATTAAGTCGGAAAGCTTCTGCAACCACCGAGAAGTGCGTGCGAAAATCGAGTAGTAGAAGAGTTTGCTTTCCAAACTATTTGCTTATTTGTCTTGAAACAAAAGTTGTGGCTAATAAAACTGGCTAGTAGATATTTGGAGGCTTAGGGTTAATGCAATGGAAGCCACCCATTTGTTCGGCCGTTGCACGGTCTTCAAACCCAGTATGCAATAGCCACAACTTTTGTTTCAGGGTATATAATTTGGAAAGCAAGTACTACGTCAGACAATCCTTCGGTAAAGCAAACTATGCAACTTCAAAAGTCCAGCCTACATCTATAGGATGGGAGGGCATACCAATCTTCTCATGGGAGAGATTTGTGATACAATACACAAGTAAAAATCATCTGACTATCTTTAAGGTTGGAATGTCTTTTTTCATGTGAGGTCTTTAGACTTGACATACTCTAATGGAGGAAGAACATAGGCCATATACAGCTTGCTATATGTTCAAGTCTGCACTTTTTAAGTTTCATAATAAAGGGAATATTCTGTATACGGCTGCACTCGTAATATTCACAATATGAGATCTCAACAGGAACTCATGATCCATCAGTATTCCAAGGTCTCTTACAATCACGGACTAGGCAGAGAATGTTGGCGTGAGTTTAGTCTTTGAGTGCGTTTTCCTGCACCTGCCTTTCTGTGATGGTTAAGCACACATGCATTAATGCAAGTTGACGTCAATAGAGTTCAAAGTTGCCCATGATAAAATTTTGTGAAAATACGTACCTAAGGCACTAGTCGCTTCTTTTTGTTCTCATCAGCATACGATAGAAAAAATTTTTTTTGTATCATCTGCAAAAATGACCTAAATTTTTTACTCAAATGATAAAAGGCTGGGTAGATTACCTTGTGCAAATTTTAAAAAGAACTAGCTTGCTTACCCGGCTCCTTTCGGCCCTGTCAAACACTGTAATAAAGGTCCCATTCCTATCCCTGTACAGCCTTTCCCAGTGCCCACTTCTACACTTCATGTCCCGTTTTCTGTGTTGTTTTCGAAATCAGCATGCCCACTTATTCCCTGTGCCAACCCTCAGCCCTTCAGCTCAAATACTTAAAAAATCGATAAAATTGATAAAAATAATCGGTAATACCAAAAACTAATATTGTACTCGTAATCAGCATGCTTGGTTACCCCCCCCCCTGCGCCAGATCTGAGCCCCGTAGCTCGAACTTTTGCAAAAAATCGATAAAATCGATAAAAATAGTGGATAATTCTTGAAACTAATGTTGTATTCGGAATCGTCATGCCCATTTACCTTTCCCCCCTCTGCCAACTCCCAGCCCCGTAGGTAAACTCTGCAAAAAAATCGATAAAAAACGATAAAATCTAATTACTGTCCCAAAAGTTTTGTCAGTTTTTTAAACCTATATAAAACTATGCACAATGAAGACCTGAATGAGTTTCAACATGCATTCGATGCAGCTTTTCCTTCTCTTTCTTATGGTTACTTTTGCGTGTCACAATCCTGTATGCTTTATTTGATAATCACCGCAATTCTTCACCTGTCATTTTTATCTGCCCAAAACTGGGCTAATTTTTGAAAATTTCATTTCAGTGTTCCAGAGGTGATAAAGTATGACACAAATAGAACAATTCTCTGACTAGAAGGTGATGTTTTTAGATTCTCCTAACATGCTGTTT